GAAAATAATATATAATATATAGTTTTGAAAAGTATTTTGAAAAACTTATATAATATATAGTTTTAAAAAAAATTTGAAAAATTATATAATATATAGTTTTATAAATATTTTTTTGAAACTTATATAATATTTTTAAATCATTTTTGAAAATTGTATAATATATAGTTTTGAAAACTTTTTAAGAATATAGTATATAGTTTAAAAATATTTTTGAAATATATATATTATATAGTTTAAAAATATTTTTGAAATATATATATTATATAGTTTATATTATATTATTAATTAATATATTATTATTTTTTTCATTTTCATTTTTATCCATTTTGTTTTGTTGACTTTATTTATTTTCTTTTTGTTCAGTTCCAAAGTATGTTCGGGTCCAGCATAGGCTAATGGGCCTGAACCAGCCCAATAACGTATTAGGGTTTCAAGACTAGAGCATTGCGTCGCATGAGGGTCAAACCACGAAGAATCACAAAGACGAGAGATCCGGCCAATAATTCGGTCATGAACAACTGAGTCAGTAAGCCCCGGCTAAATTGGGACTGACCCATCCCGTTTTAGCCGGTTAATCATGAATTACCCTAACTATTTCAGGGCTAGAAAATACCAAAGTCAGGGCTATAAAAGCCCCAGTGAGGCTATGCAACAAGGACATCAACGGTACACAGAACGACCATAAGCCAGCCATAGAAAAACAACACAAATATCATCAGAATAGAGAACGACAGAACTAAAACAACCAAACCAACAAAGAACCCACGAAATGACAACAAAACCATCGAACCACAAATCACAAAAAGTGTAAAAAAATAAAGCAAGGAAAAGACCGAAGCCAATGAAAGTACACAAGCATCAACCGAAGAAACCATCGGAAAAGCGAAATGTTGCCGGAAAAGGTAAAGACCCGAGGAGTATTTTTAGATCTACTTCGATAGGGGTGTGGTTTGAGTGTTTAGAGGTTGGTTTTGGGTTAATGAGGTAAAGGGGAACGTTTTGGTGGTTTCGGGCTTTTTTCAGTCACCGGCGGTGGCAGTCGGAGCGACGGCGTCACGACGGGGAGTGGTCACCGGGTGGTGGTCGAATTCTGATCGGGAGAGGTGTGTTGAGAGAATTGAGAGAGATGGAGGAGAGGCTATTTTGTGAGAATGAGTGAAATGAGCTTTTGGGTATTTTTTTGGCTTTTATACGACCAATGTACCCGGCTGCGACCTGCGCTTCGACCCGACCCGGGGGGCAGATCAGCGTGTTTTTTATTTTTAAAGGGGTAAATTATGTTTTTGGTATACCCAGTTTTTATAAATTCCATTTTGACCCAGATTCAATTTTTGTCCCTAATTTCTCTTAAATTAGACCTCCAATTTTGTTGTTTTGTAATTTGATCCCTTATCATTATATTTTTTAATTTTTTTCTTTTTAGTTTGTATCTATTATTACTAATACTTTTTAGTGTCCTATTTATTATATATGTTTTATTATTATTTCCTTTTTTTATCTTCATTCTTCATTTTTTATTTATTTACTTATCTGTTTGTTTCTTTTCTTATCTTATTTTTGTTTTTTATTTTCCTTATTTTTATTTCATTTGTTTCCATTTTCTTTATAGTTATTTATTTATTTATTTTTTTTAGTTATCTATTTTATTATACATATATGTATGTATTATTTTTACTATTATTTCCTTTGTTTTATTTATTTATTTTCTTTTATCTTCATTTTTATTTTTGTTCTTTATCTTCATTTTATTTATTTATTTATTTATTTTATTTTCCTCTCTAACACTTTTGACTTTTTTAGGGATATTTCCAACTGATCTAAAGTAATTAATTCAAATAGAATGTTTTAAATTTTAATTTTAATTTTAAAATTAAAGACAACAGACGAATTAATTGATACCGAAAGGGCGGTTCAACGGTGCTAATTCTTCATTGACCGTAACCGACTCCCGAGCCTGACACATTTCTGGTAAAGCGCAGATCATTTAAAATGGTGTTCGACCCACCTAAATTCGTTTTAAAATGGTTGGTGGCGACTCTAACCCATTTATTCAAGTCGAAGCCCAATTTCGGGCCCAACCGAAAGACGACTGCGACAATAAGGAAAAAGGGAAAATATTTTATTGGATTTTAACCAATGTTTCATTTCTCAAATTTTTATCATGTGACTTAATTAAATTCTAATTGAATCAAATGTGTGAAAAATAAATCATGAGGATTAATTAATTTTATTAAGAGAAAATAACTTCAGTGACCGAAAATGCCTTATAATATACGATTTTAACCAACTTTTTTTGGATTTACGAAAATGACAAACAAATTCGCAACGCGAACTCCAACTTCGCAACTCAGTTTTGAAATTCGCAACGCGAATTTGTAAATCGCAATACAGAAGTCAAATTCGCAATACATAAGTCAAATTCGCAACACAGAAGTCAAATTCGCAACACACAATTGAAATTCGCGTTGCGAATTTCACTTTCGCAACACGCACACATCTTTCGCAACACGCACACTTTACTGCCTTTCGCAACATACAATTATGGTTGACCCTTTCGCTTTTGCTGATGGGTTTTACAGGTCTTGGATCATCGAAAAACTCTCCCCCATAAATGTTGAAGCTGTCCAATGAGCTTGTTGATAAACGTGGGGGAAAGGGATGTGAGGAAAGAGATGGAGGGGAAGCAAATGGCCATGGAAGAAAATGTCGTCGACCGAAGATAAATCGGTAGTGATCGAAGGTGAGGTTTCGGATTTACAATCGGAGACTCAATCAGAAGATGAACGGAAAGAGACTATGAAGGAGAATTCATGAGAAGGAGCTGAAACAGGGGATAGTACTGATGATGATGACCCTTTTTTTATTTCCTCTTCTAACTTGCTTTCTTCTTCTTTTTCATGTTGCTAATAATGAGTGCTTACATTTTTTTTATTCAATTCGGAAGTAAAATCCGAAGTCTCCTTCATTGCTTTCAAGTCAAAGTCAATGCTCCTCATTGCTTTGCATCTTTCTTTGGATCTAAGTCTGTTATTTTCACTTGCAGCAAAGGTCAACATTACCAACTTAAAATGCTAAGCTAAACTCAAATCAAGCATTGGTTTAATTTTGGAATTAATTTAATGTATTGAGCAGTACAGTTAATTGTTTAATGTTGAGTTCCTGTTAGTTTCGCAACACATAATTGAAATTCGCGTTGTGAATTTCAATTTCACAACACACAGTTGAGAGCTCTAAAAGGATGACTGCTGGGTGTTGGTAAACATGGAGAGGGATTTGGGTTCTTTGAGAGAGGGAGTGGGGATTGGGTTTTAACGAAATTCGTTTACAGAATTTGAGAAAGCCATCTTATTCCATCCCATCTTATTTCGCAACGCGGGTTCGCAATTCGCAACGTGGGTTGGGATGAAATTATGTTAAATATGTTCTTAATTATAAGTTTACACGAATTTAACCAACTTTTCCTCCTCCACACAGCTTTGGTTTCGCAACACAGCTTCGGTTTCGCAAATTCGAGTTGCGAATTTCATAGCTGGGGTTCTTCGCCTTTCTTTTCCTCCTCCACACAGATTTGGTTTCGTAACACAACTTTGGTTTCACAACGCAGCTTTGGTTTCGCAACACAGTTTTGGTTATCGCAAATTCGAGTTGCGAATTTCACAGCTGGGGTTCTTCGCCTTTCTTTTCCTCCTCCACTATCTTTCCTTCTTCAACCTGTTTCTCTTCCACTTCCTTACGCTCTACTGTTTTTTGTTTCTCTTCTTGCAAATAAAAAAGAGCCGGCTGGAATCAAGCAAACTACATAGAAAACCAGAAGAAAAAGAATATTAGTTTAAAAATCGTGTTAAAAAAAATCGCGTTGCAAATTGAAAAATCGCGTTGCGGAAAAGAAATTCGAGTTGTGAATTTGGAAACTGTATTGCGAAATTGGAGTTTGCGTTGCGAATTTGCTGGTCATTTTCGTAAATCCAAAAAAATTTGATTAAAATCGTATATTATACGGTATTTTCAGTCACTGAATTTACTTTATCTTTTTTTCTCTTTTATTAATGGTGAAAACGGATCAAGTGAATCCCGTGAAGCTCTCTCCAATTCCGAAATTTTCAATTTCCGTGGGTTTACGCCATTACCACACCACCAAACAAACAAGTGATCCAAAAAAGCCAATTGAACTGCAGCTATGATCCTCTGCATTGCGCTGTAGTATGTAAACTTAGTCTGCGCCTACATAATCGACACGTCATTGTTTCGATGGCACCGACAGAGGAACGCGGCTAACTGGGCCCCAGTTTAGTATTATTTTTTTAGAAGTATAGAATATTGTGTTCTTTTTCCTCAATATCAACTATGGTTGCATACTTGCATGTGAGTTCGATTCCTGATGCTCAAAGTCGCATGATTTATTATTATTATTTTCAAATTTCATGCATTTATATATGGATAAATATAGAATTTTATATTAAGATAATAAATTTTTTAATTTTATTGAAAAAAAATTTATAAGTTTTAAAATAATAAAAATAAAAGTTTAATAAAAACAAATAAAAAATTTAAAAATATATAATAATGTTAAATTTTTAAGAGAATATTTTTTCTTTTTTGTATATTTATTCGCCGGTCACTTTATCTAGTGTGACGATGTTCTATATAGTAAAAACAAAAGTTTTTTATATTACTGATGTAGAGCCATACATAATTTAACCGTCAATGAATAAAGAAAGTGGCAATGAAATTTTATTAAATTATTACACATAATTTTAAACAATAAATAGTTTTACACGGAAATTAGGATGGTTGAAGGAAGATAATCAAATGTTGAGATTAATATTTTATTTTTTTAGTGAATATCTTATTGTTTAGTATTGTTAATTTCACATTTAATTTCTCCTCCTCCAATGATCTTAAAAAAGTGAAGTTTTTTAATTTATATTATGTAATTTAATCATAGGTCATATATTTTTTCATATTTTTTTATATGTGATATACAAAGTTAGAAACTCGACTTAAAAACTGCTTCACTAATTATTAACAAAAAATCGAGTTATTCAAGTTTTATTTTATAACAAGACTAAACTCAACTCAAATTTTCTAAACTCGACTAAAAATATTCAAATAAAGTTTGAATTATCAAATAAGACCTATCAACGTGAATGACTCGAAATTTTTTGACTTGACTCAATCGAATATTCACTCTTAATTGAAGATAAAGTTTATTAAAACAAGTAATTTTGCTGCAAAATATTTGGTCGTAAGTCTTTTTTATTTTTGATCCAAGATGTGATTTTATTTCAATGAACGAGTAAATAAGTTTCTAAACGAGTTAATAAATAAATTTAATTTAAATGAACCAACATATTTATATTTATGTTAATTCGTTTATTAAATAAACATAAAATTTTTATTCCTACTCATTTATTTAATTTAATAAATAAATATAAACAATAATTATAAAAATAAGTCATACATAATTTATTATTATTATTTTTTTATTAAACTAATATTATTTCAAAGTAATATATGTTCTAAATACTTTCAACTATTGACAATGAACGTTTAATCATCCTACAACCGTTGGTGCTCGAACTCATAACCTCTATAAACATCAATATTTCTTTTAACCACTTAAATAAATTAATTCATACAATTCATACATAATTTATTAAACACTCTCTTCAGTTATCCCTTAAATAAAATAGTTGTGATTTGAGATTTCATTAATCAAATAAAATAATTGAAAGATACAGTTGGACAAGAACTTCATTGGTGGATCTTTAGCGCGTTTATTAGTAGAGAAACAGTGTATGAAGATAAAAGCTTGGAGGAGATTTGATTTGGATTTTTTTAAAAGCAACTTGTTCATCATTTATTAACAGCTTTCGCATGTATTTTGATTACCATTTCATTTGATTAGTGGTTTCCCCCGCCCAACTTTTCACGAGCTCTGTCGTGTTCGGGTCGATACAAAAATCGCCTACTCTCTTACGCCATCCGAGAGAGAGAGGTCGCCATATAAGCAAAAGGCAACAAACAAATGAAAGAAGAGTTTCTCTTAGTTCAAACAAAAGGAAATTTCTTCTTTAGATCATATTTTGATGAAATCTGGCTTGTTTTAAGCCTGCCTTTGCGCTATCTTCCATCTGCACCTCTACTCCTACAACCAAGGTACTCTTTTCATTTTGTTTTAGTATTATTTTTGTTCCCCTTCGCGTTTGTTTTTTAACTGTTTTTGGTTTCATTAGATTCGATATCGTTTTTGATTTTCAAATGATTGATCCGAAATGGGTTTTCCTCGTTTAAATCTGGGTTGCCATTAAACTTTCGTATTGGGTAGCAAAGAGAAGTGAATTTTAATGGGAAATAAGTGATTTTTGAATGAAAATGAGCTGGCCCTTCATTATTCTCAGGTGGCGGAATTCACTCAAAGTGTGTTGTAGGGAAATGTTTCTACTTTACTTTCCTTTATTTTCTTCGAATCTTTAAATTTCCCTTTTCAATTTTTTCCTTTAGCTGTTTCAGTCTTATATCGTTCCTTGAAAAAAAAAATCCAATTTTGCATCATCTTCCTTTCTCTGCTTACAATTTGCTTTTCCAGTAGGTTCACATTCAGCAGGGTTTATTAATCTAGTATCTTCAGATTGAGAAATCATGCCATTTGATCTTATTTCAGTGCAGAGTTTCTTTGCGTTAGCTAAGCCATTTCATGGCTGTCTTTATTAAGATTTAACGTTTTTTTAGAGGAATATTACGGGTTTAGCTTGTTTCAGAGAGCGGATTTGAGTAGAGTATATAAAATTTAACTATTTCACTGAGTTGTTTCTTGTGTGTTCATATATTTTTCCCCATCTTGCCAACCCTTGGGGATTTCAGGTTATAACAATGTCCCGACCTCTGCATCGAGGTGTATCTGGAATACGTAACTCGGGCAACAACAATGATTTCTGGGACTCTCAAGTGAAAGATAAAGCGAAGGAAGATATGGATAGAAATCGTCCTTCTGATCCGAGCTATTCATCACTCAGGTTTCCTTTTCGGTTATTTTTTCCGGATAATTCCCCATCTAAATATGGTACCACTGAGAATGGTTTTACAACTGATCCCTTCAGTATTGGGTCTCCAAGAGGCTGGCATAAGTTAACCGTGCTATTTTTGAAGTTCAGTTTAGTTGTGGTTGTGATTCTTGCCCTTACTGGATCATTTTGGTGGACACTTTCCATTTCAACATTATCTAGAGGTCATATATTCCATGGTTACAGAAGACTGCAAGAGCAACTTGTTTCTGATTTGTGGGATATAGGCGTGCTTTCTCTTGGTCCTTCAAGGATGAAAGAAATAGAATTCTGCCCTGAGGAGTCTGAGAATCACATTCCTTGCTTTAATGTTTCGGAGAATCTTGCTTTGGGTTATTCTGATGGTAATGAGAATGATCGACTATGTGGACAAAGCTCAAGGCAAAGTTGCTTAGTTCTTCCACCTGTGAACTATAAAATTCCTCTAAGGTGGCCAACTGGGAGAGATGTAATTTGGGTTGCAAATGTCAAAATTACTGGTCAAGAGGTCTTTACCTCTGGCAGTTTAACCAAGAGGTGAGTGGAAGTTTCTTTTGTTAGTCAACTTTCTCATCTAACTGCCTTTATTTCCAAATTCATTTTATTTCTTCCAAAAATATTTATTAAACTCCTTGATTTATGCAATTGCAGAATGATGATGCTAGAGGAGGAGCAGATTTCATTCCGATCAGCATCGCTTATGTTTGATGGTGTTGAAGACTATTCCCATCAGATTGCTGAAATGATTGGATTGAGAAATGAATCTAATTTCGTACAAGCTGGGGTAAGCTGGAATTTTCCTTAGTCCCATAATTTTACTGTTCCATTGTTCATGGATTTTTTTTTCAATTTGTCTACTTTAATCTAGTAAGGTCATATCTGTTTAAATTCACAGATGGGATATTTTTAAGTCATTATTTATTTCTTACCTGACAGGTTAATCTAGTAAGGTTATATCCTTTAATTGCCTCCTTTGGAGTGCCATCATTCTGTTAGTTTCTTTTGCTTTAAAAATAGAAGTTTGTGTTTATAGTCTCCCTGCGTTGTCTGAATTTAAGGTTATTGTTGCAGGTCAGAACTATCTTGGATATAGGATGTGGTTATGGTAGTTTTGGAGCACACCTCTTTTCCAAGCAGCTCTTAACCATGTGCATTGCAAACTACGAGTTGTCGGGCAGTCAAGTCCAACTCACACTAGAAAGGGGCCTTCCTGCAATGATTGGTTCTTTCAGTTCGAAACAGCTACCGTATCCATCTCTTTCATTTGATATGCTGCATTGTGCGCGCTGTGGTATTGACTGGGATAAAAAAGGTATCAGTTAACAGTGTAACCCTTGCTCATATAGAATTTGCTGCTTCTTTCCCCCATGGTTTCATCTTCCTCCCCATACCCTGGAATGTTACAATTTCTTATTTTAATAGAAGCATTTTCCACTGGAACAAAAACATAGGTCTCAAATATTTAGTATTTTTGTGGTATCAGACAAAACATAGAATTGTTAATGGTTCTGTATACAACTCCTAGCCAAAGATTTGTTTTGGCTACTGCTTTTTGTTGTAAGTTCTACAAATTGGCTACGCCTTTACCAACTCTTATATTTGCTAATTTTGACTTGTGACCATATTTTGACTTCTATATTTGACTTATGCCAAGAGTATTATATTTGAGCTTTTATTAAATAAACTTTTGTGCTAAATGTGTGCTACAGATGGTATTTTCTTGATTGAAGTTGATAGAGTTCTAAAGCCTGGTGGATACTTTGTGTGGACTTCACCTCTTACCAATGTTCAGAGTTTTGTTCGTAACAAAGACAAGCAGAAAAGGTGGAACTTTGTTCGTGATTTTGCAGAAAATCTCTGTTGGGAATTGATGTCTCAACAAGATGAAACTGTTTTGTGGAAAAAGACCAGTAAAAAGAATTGTCATAATTCCCGGTAAGGCAGTTTTCTTGATTTTCATTCAATTTTTTTTTTAAAAAAATCAATTTATTTTGACCGTATAAAATATTGGGAATCCTAATAGGTTAATCATTTATGTCCAGGAAGCCTGTTTCTGGTCCTCCTATCTGTAACAAAGGGCAAGATATTGAATCTCCATATTATCGACCTCTACAGAACTGTATAGGTGGCACACGTAGCCACCGTTGGCTTCCTATTGAGGAGAGGCCAACTTGGCCTTCTAGATCTAACTTGAATAAGAATGAACTAGCACTATATGGTAATTTGATGTTCTTTGCATACTTTTGTTAGAAGTAACAATTCCATCAAGTAGGCAATGATATAAAAGAAATTTCTGTCTCCCACTTTGATTTATCTGTTTGCTGATCTTTTTTTGATATTTTGGCAGGATTAAACTCAGAAGAACTCAATGAGGATACTGCAAACTATAAAACAGCTGTTCGTAATATTTGGTCTCTTCTGTCACCTCTAATATTCTCGGATCATCCAAAGAGGCCTGGTGATGAGGATCCTTCTCCACCTTATAACATGCTCAGGAATGTGCTAGACATGAATGCTCGCTATGGTGGTTTAAATGCTGCTTTACTGGAAGCAGGGAAGTCTGCTTGGGTTATGAACGTAGTCCCAACAAGTGGACCCAATTACCTTCCCCTCATTCTCGACAGGGGCTATGTTGGTGTACTACATGATTGGTGATTCTCTTCTCGGTCTAAACATTTTTATCATTTTGCTGTGTCGTCGTAATATTTCGTTGTAGTAATTCCTATGTATCATATGATTTCAGCAACTTAAAAAATTACTTTTCTGATATGGTTTGGTTGTTTTCACTGAAAACTTCAATGAATTTAGGACATTGTGTTGCTTTCGTTTCACAGTTGATTAATCACTCTTTTGAAGATGTGATATGCTTTACATTAAAGCTTTTATGAACAACAAATGCCTTTCCCTTTTTGTGGTTTTATTTGTCTAATAATCCATCTGTATCACTTTCAGGTGTGAAGCATTTCCAACATATCCTAGAACTTATGATATGGTTCATGCAGAAGGACTTCTATCCCTTGAGACCAGTCAACATCGAAGATGCACTATGCTTGATCTATTCACTGAGATAGATCGGGTGCTTCGTCCCGAGGTACTAGAACCAATCTATCAATTACTCAAAACTGGCCACGTTTAGCTCCTATTATGGTTACCTTCTACTGTTTTTCTATCCCTGAAATGATATAATAATTACAGTAGGTGTATATAATAAATCTAATGCTGAATGTGTTATTACACGCCAAAACACTTTTCTTCCATTGCAAATGCTGAAAAACACAATTAAAAAGTCGTGTTTTAGAGACAGTGTCCTGCTGTCGCATATTTCGTCTTTATCACTTAGAAACATGAGTCGGTGATAGTAGGCAAACTACTTTGAGTATATTTCCTACATATATGCCAATGAGAACTATGCTAATATTATCTGTTCTTTTTTCATAAACATAAATGCTTGATGTTGTGCCATCCTAAACCCATTCTATCAGATGACTGGACCTTTCGAATGGTACCGATTATATTGATGCATTTTGATGGTTGGTGCAGGGTTGGGTGATAATCCGTGACACTGCTCCTCTCATTGGATCAGCCAGGGCTCTAACAACACGGTTGAAGTGGGACGCCAGAGTTGTAGAAATCGAAAGTAACAGCGATGAGAGAATTCTCATCTGTCAGAAACCTTTCTTTAAGAGGCAAGCAAGTTGAGAGCAATTTCTCGATAAAACCCAAGTTCACGTCTTCGAATTCAGGCTCATAATGTGCATGTTAACTAGTCATCATAAAGCTCCGCCATAGAAGGGGATATACTATATGTTTTGTTGAACAGAATGAAGATAGAGAAGGAATATTGATGAGACAAACGGTGACAAAAACTCCTGTGGAGCCGTAAGGCAAGCATAGGACCTTGTAATTACTCGATCGAGGCAGCATTGCAAGTGAGAAACTTTAGGGTCAGGTTTAAAATTTTAACGTTTTATGTCTCATTATGAATATACAAACACATGATTAAGATGTGAAAGATGATTTAAAGAATAAGTGCTACTAGCTGTGCAGTATAGATTAAAAAAAAACAAATAAGTCCTTTAGTGCAATTTATGATGAATATTTTTTCATCATTTTATGACTCTAAGATACCATTTATATTGGTTAGAATTTATTTTTTGTTATTTTTAATGCAGTGATGTATGCAACGCAACGTAGGCGTGTTTATATGAAAAGCACGTAGCATATCTTTTTTTTAATAGCATGAGGTAATTATAAAATAATATTTATTCAAAATCTATTTGTCATTAATAACGTTCAAATCCAAGATTTTAAAGGAGAATAACATTCACTTTAATCATAGAAACCACTCATCTCGTATCATTAAAATTATAGAAATGAAAATTTCTTTTCGTATCATTAAAATTACAGAAATGGAAATTACATAAATGAATGCATGTGATTCAGTTTTGGTGCCTTGTGTTTGATGTTGGGGTCTTCTCTTGCACCTACCATGTCAATGCAGTGTCATCTTGCAATTGAATTTGAGCGTTGAGTAATTATAATTAAAAATATGATGGAATCTCGAAAAGTAAATGATATTATGTGTAGTATTCTTTTGTTGGTTGATGAATAACCCTCGACTATTAACACCAATATCGCATTCAATTCCCCTCTATCACGAGTTATGATGTAAAATTGCATTTTTGGTACCATCAATCATGCTATGATAATTTATTAAATTGTTATCTGTTTTCTTGTTAAACTAGTAAAACATGCATATGAGTCCAACTTTTTCTTAGGGGTTTCACTCTAGTTTTCTCTCAAGCACCGTTAGTCTCTTTTTCTTTAGTTTTGTTGTCTGTTCACAGCATAATTTTGGTGTTGATCGT